ATACTATAATAACTTAATACTTCTTGTACTTGTATATATATATATATATATATATATATATATATATATAAAAGAGTTAAAAAAACAGGAAATTATTTTTTGGAAGAGCAAGACCACCTGTATCTATAAAGCCTGGGAGTAAGACAATTTCTTATGCAAACAGTCCTCTGAACACCCACAATGCAGTTTTAAGATAGGCCTCGACAAATATTTTCAGATCTAGGAACCAGTCCAAAAACTTGGGAGACACATTTGTCTAACCTAACTTCACTACTGTTTGTACCGGGAAATGGGATCTGCACTTTGTTTCTTTTCCCTAAATGTTCTCAAAATAATTGTGCAGTTACAATTCTAGACAATAATTTACATGTTTTGGAGAAATTGTTGCTTAGAAATTAACCTTGATTGCAAAGTTCAGGTTTTGCATGATATCCGGGGTGCGTTCAAATCATAAGTAAGCCAGTTCAAGCCTAGCCTCTTATTTTTAGCTTGAGACAGGAATACAAAATATTTGTAGCTTGGTTAACTTTATTTGATTAGTGATTAAGAACATAATATACATATACACATTAAGATTTCTTAATAGATTTCACTCAACTTCAGTTGTCCTCCACTGTTCTATGCTGCACGGTGGACATTCATTAACCACAGATGCATGTTCAGGTTATGTTTGGGTGTCGCCCAGTTTAACATTGTCCTCTTCCCTACATGTAATTGATGTCTTCAGTCTGTTTTAACAAAGGTTTTTAAAATAATTCCCAAGCATAGATTTGTGCTAATTTTTGACTTATTTTTCACAGCTGATGATAGGGTGTGAATGCACTTCCGTGTCTATATCAGAAAAAGTGCCAAAAGTTAGGAGCTTATTACATCTACGTTGGCAATTAAATTCAACTAAAACAGGAATGGGCAATCAAAAGAGGAAGTATTATAGGAGAAAAAGTGGAATTGGCCTCGTGTAATTCACTAAATCGACCATGACCGACATTTGGATTGTATGATTGTGACAATTTTATAATTTTTTATGATAATGTGATTAAATGACAGTAAAAAAGATTATAATTTAAAACAAGGGACATAAATATGTTGAAAAATTATATCTAGATTAAACAATAGGCTAACTAGTGAGATGCATTAGTGCTTCTATTATCTGCAATTTTTTGCTTTTCCCGGACTAGTGCGGATAATTGAGACACCAGTGTATATTTATTTACTTTCACAGGAACGAGTGTATGCTAACGATCAAATGATATCAAGAACCACTTGATAGTATTGCCTGAACTAACTGCCTTTGATCTCATCTAAGTACATGCACTGATTGGTTGAATTGAGAGAAAGAAGAAAAACAAAATGGCACGAAATTAGTAATGTGTTGTGCAACTGCAGCACATCATTCCTGAATCTTCCATTAAAATCCTAGAAACGAAGTTTGATTTAGGACTCAAAGGATGCAAAAATAATTCCAGACTTTGAATAGTCCAGAACTGTTCTAGATTTGAGTTCTATTTAGCACAGCCCTACATACAAATAAAGGGGAAGAAAATCCTAGGCATCATGATGAAATTTTTGACATGGTGCTCTGGATTTGTTGAGGCCTGTTCTATGAGGAGGCTATTTTTTTCACTAGCAACCATATGTTTGTTGCTTTTACTACCTTGATGATTTAAACAATTTATTAGCAAAGATCTCGGGCTCGGCACTTCTTGTGGGCTTCACGTGCATGGTAGAATGAAGTGTGAACACTAAGACGGTGACAATGGGGGGAAACTGAAATGATTGTTACATCAATAAAAATGTTTTAAAATCCTTCTACGGCATACCTAAGAACCTCTGAAAGTTTTAACAATGATCAGAGGTTAGAACATTGGAAAATTTTCATCATGTACAAACAAATGTTGAAGAAATCCACTTTATAAGATTTCTTTATACTTCGTAATTCATGAAACCTTCATGATTTGGAAAAACTATAATCCATAAGGTTAAAAATATATATTACTTACAAATCAGGGAACTGCAATTCCACTGTCTGAGACATGAGTGATATAACATGAAATTCTATTTAAAGAGAAGTCACAGATATAGTGAATCCAGCAAATCTCTTCCTACTGTCAAAATATCCTGACAATTTGTTTAATGTTCTTCTTATATCAAGGAAAATTCCTTTTTAATAAACACAACACACATCATAAGTGTTTACAAACAAAACTGATTTATTTGCCTAGCTCAAGAAAAAAAGATGTTATTTTACAGTCCTCTTGGAAATTTCATTCTACTTAACTTGTAAGGCAAGTGATTATCAGCAGTATTAGGCAAGTGAATAAAGCTATATTCAATAATCTGAAAAATACTGATATCTAGATTCCTCAATTATGTCTTCACATCCCACTGTTTTATTTGGCTGCATCCAGCCTTTCAGACACATCCTTCCAATTGACAACATTCCACACAGCTTTTACATAATCAGGTCTGACATTCTTATACTGCAGGTAATAAGCATGTTCCCAAACATCTATCCCAAACAAAGGGATTAGGCCTAAAAAAACAAAAACATGTAATTATAAGTATGTTACACATATCCTTCCCAGACATGCACTTTGATTAAGGTAGCTCAATATACACAACTATAAAAACCTTATATGACAAGATATTAGAAATGTAAGATTGAGGTCCAGTTGTTGTATGTCCTGTTCAGTTATTCAACATTTAAATAAACCAGTAAAATGGGAATTTACATTTAATAAAATTGCAGTGATTAATGAAGAAAAACTAAATAGTATATACAATGTGAATTCTACAGTTTACCTTGTACAAAAATACAATGTAGCAAAACTTTCAGATATATTCCAACTGCTTTTATGTACTAATCAACAAGATAAGTGGGGAATTTTAGTTCAAGTTTTGATTTATTAGATATAGGTGTATATCTAAAGCTAAGTACTCATACACTCCACATGAAACAGTTTTCAGATTTGAAAATCTTTATTAAGTTTAATTACAACTCCTTATCTATATTATACTTTAATTTTGAAAAACTTAAATAACTGGAACATATCAAAAGTTAACATTTTCTTGAACTGAAAATGTATTTTTGATAGATACCTCCTCTCACAAAAAGCTTACTGCCCTCCATCAGTGAAAATTTTTGCTCACCACAATCCTTGATGTTGCCACTTATCTCTGCTTACTAACATGCAAATTATTATGCAGCAACCATCCACCAACAGGAGTGTGACCCTACCCCTATCTTAATTAGTGGAATCTCTAATCATGTAGCTGTTAACCACTTCAAGATTGGTCACATCACACCAGAAGTGGGGAGGATGGGTGGGTGGGAAATGAGTCTGGAGGTAAGTATCTATCAGAAATACATTTTTAGTTTAGGAAAATGTTAACTTCCAACATAGTATCTTAACTCTTTTCACAAAAAGCTAGGATCCCCCTTGAGAAAGCACTAAGGAAAACCATGGGATGTGGAAAGGAACTAAAAATAACACCCATGGGAGACCACACCACTTCTGAGCCAAGTATACTCTTCACTTGTTAGTAATATGTAAAGTGGTTAGGATGTAATAGACTGTAAATGAGAGTACAACCTCAACCAACACCATAGCAACATCTGGAATTGTACATAAGTTCCGCAGTAGGAAGAGGGTCCTAAATCTTTCACTTCAGGAATTGGTACCAGCAGGGAAGAGGAGTTTCAGCTACAACCAACACCAGAAGTACTGGAAACCGATATCCAGTGGATGGTAGGAAGAGGGATGGCTATATGGTGTGCATCTCCTGTCTAAAACTTAGTGGCATTGGAGATTTATTGTCCTGTCTGTGGTAGGAGGTTAACCATCCAAACACATGTGAGGACTTATGAGGCTGGTCTGACTCCAACCAATACCTGATCCCTGGAAACTGACATCCGGACAGTTTCTAGGAAGGAGGGTGTCTCAGCTGGAGAGGAAAACTGAAATATATGGTGGAGTGCTACATACAATATCTGGCGACATCTGGAATTGTAAATCAGGTCTGCAATAGGAAGGGCAACATGCCATCTATGTGCAGAATGCCACCGCCATATTCTCAACTGAGTGGTATTGTGCACACTCAGGAGGACAGGCCTCCATGGTTCACTACCCCAATGGCTAGGAACTGGTAAATGGCAAGGACTCCACTAGAAGAAGGAGGGAAAAAGTGTGTTAAAAAGTTAAGAGGACTGCAGCACCAGAGATGGTGCAATTTGTGACTATGATACCGTATTTTGAAAAGCAGAGTTATCACGGGAGAGGTGAGGATTTCACAGAAGAAACAAATGGACTCTGGAACCACAGTAGGGAGCAGTACATGTCATATACCATTGGAGAGCCCTGACTTGGCAAAGGAGACAGGCAAGATTGGAACAGTTGTAAAGGTGGGCAATGGAAGGAAGAGAAGAGAACATAGGAACTAAAGAAGCATAAATGTGGTGAAGAACAATTGTGAACACATTATAATGACAATGTTTGCACGCTAACAAAAGCAAGAATAGGGAATTCATGGAAAGGTGATATAACGAATACAAAGAAAAAGTTCCAATGGAGGGTGGGGAAGAGCATGGAGGAACACATACAGGTGCTAATCAGGGCGGGGAGGACAGGAAAAGCAAAAGGAATGAAACAACATGGATAAGACTGGCAACTGGAAAACACAAGCAAAGTTGGTAAACCAAAACATTGCAGACAATGCTGCCTTATAGCCCACAACAGAAACCAAAAGTCAAGGCAAAAAGGATGGCATGTGAGGAACTGTAGGATGGGAAAGATGATAACTCCGTAGGAGAGACCAATAGCAGTATATGTACCATGTACCTTGGTAAACCACCGTGGAGGAAGGAGGAATGGGACAGGGAACAAAGGAAGCTATACATGAAAGTCCAGCCCTTCAGGTGAGGGATCAGATGAAGCCACAGATAGCAGGTATGGATGGATGATGGATGTGTCAAACAGAGAAGTGTCAGAGAGAAAGGGAACGCGACACCAAAAGCCGGTCCTGCAGTAGAAACCACGTGTGGGCCAGCCAATACACAGCCACCAGCAGAACACTACACTGAGTGGTCTTAACTATGGCAAGGACTTGTGAAAGGAGACGAAGGGGAGGATATGTATATAGGTACCAACCTGACTGAGAGTATCAACTGCTCACACCATAGTATAAAGAACAAAAGACCAAAATTGGGGAAATGGTATATTGGGAAGAGTGTCTAAAGCATCCAAACCTGGGACACCCCACAGAGCACATAAAACCCGAAAAACATGAGGATCTGAAAACCACTCTACAGGGAGAATCTGGTTGGAACAAGATAACCGATCCATGACCAGATTTGATGGCAGTGGGCCAACACAGAAGATACAATATTTTAAAAAAGAGGCTTGTTGACCGAGTGCCCCTTGCCCAGTGATGTATGAGACTACCATAGAAATATTGGAGTGTACTATCACCAACTGGCCCCAAAGAGACTGAAGAAAACCTGGCAAATAGCAAGAAGTTCCAAGAGACTGACGTGGAGAGGGGACATAAAAAGAGACCATTGCCCTGAAACCTCCAGAGTGTCAAGATACACCCTCCAACCAGAAAGAGAAGCATCCATAAAAGGTGACATTCCAGACAAGGAGGAGGAAAAAAAAAGATCACCCACTGTAGTATTTTTCTGACCCAACCACCAGGCGAAGTCGATCTATAAGGGAGAGGGAAGGATAAGAAGGGCATCTAAAGGATCCTGAACAAGGCTCCATTGGGCTATCAAACCCATTGATGATGAAGCATTAGGGCACGACCAAGAGCATTGAGAGAAGACCATGTTCCCAAAAAATAGAGAACCTTTCATGCATTAGGATAAGGAGAGGATGAGATGCTGCATACAAGACATTCTACAGCTTGCAAGTGAAGTGGAGCAGGTAGGGTCTGATGGAGGAGAAAGTTTCAAACATCCTGAGATGAACCAAAAATTGTGTGGGTGTGAGTAAAAACTTTTCTACTTTGACAAGCCAACCTACCATGACAACATCCTAGAGAAGAAACTGACCATGTAGGACTGAGTCATTTTGTGAGGAGGCAAGAAGCAGCCAGACATCTATACAATGGTGGAAATGAAGGCTCCTGATATGAATCACGTGAGGTGGGTAAAACAAAAGCAGGATCCTGAGGAGGAGTGATGGAATTGGGATTGTGAGACAATGGGGGAGGTGAATGGAAGTAGAGGACCAGACTTACTGAAATGACTGTCAGAACCCATGGACCAACTGCCAAGGATTTCCACATGTGAGCAAATTGTAGGAGTCTGGCACCAACCAGCCCTGTTCCATGAAGGGTGGTCAGAGTTAGACGAATATGGAAAAAGGTACACAAATTATTAGGGTCCAATCCCCACTACGAGAGAAGCAACACCAAATGCTTTTGAGTCTATATAAGGGAAGTTGGAATGATGATAAGCGATAAGCAAAAGCATGTGGCATACAGACCCTTGAACACAAATGCTCCTTAAAATGACTAACCTAAACCCCAATATCCAGGAAAGTATGAAACACTAAATAATGACCCTAAAGCTCATCCCTAGAAGGACAGGGGTGGAACATAGGAAATGGGAGATAATGACAGAACATAATATACCTGAAAAATCAAATCCACCAAAAGGGAAAGAGGTCTGGGCAAGTCCCATGAAACAACACATGACTGAGAGGCATATTTGGGAGGGGGGGGGAGGCTGTTCAAATTCCTGATCACTGAAAAGCATAATAGGACAATCATCAGTTTGTTCTGATTGTTGCATGAAACTGGTCTACTCCCAACGGACCAGAGCCGTCAATTCGTGGGCCAAGAATCATGGTTCCAACCCAATGGACATGGTCAGCAATTCCACTGCTGGAGTAACAGCAGTTATAGTCATGACCACCCAAGTGCATAACTCACAAAATTGAGAGAGAAGAGAAAATAAATAAAATAATTCATAATGCTCCACAAAAAATAACAAAAACGGTAAAGAACAATTTACCTGAAGTAGAAAAATTAAGAAAGTAAAATCTTGTGGATCAATTAATCAAAACCTCGAGCAAAAACACATCTATTAAATAAGATAGCCAATCGAGAAGTGGTTAATACCTGCAAGATTAGTGAGGGCACTAGTTACAATAGGGGTAGTGAAGGGTTGCTGCATAATCATTTGTACGTTGGTATGCAGAGATAAGTGGGAGTATGAAGGCTAGTTGTGAGTGAACATTTGCACCAGTAGAGGGCAGTATAAGTCAAGATATTTTCGAAATGGTACATTTAAGTATTTTACCCTCAACAAAGGTTTTACTTGTTGTTAAACAAATGTTTAAACAACTCTATTCAATCAAGATATTATGTTGGAATTCATAATTATTGTTACCCACTCCAAACAGAGACACACGCACAAATAAATACAATTAAAACTTTCCCACAGAGTACATAAAGGCATGACTGTACAGTATTGATCAAACCTAAAATCAGTTCTCTCTCAGAAGCAGGGAATTGCTCTTTTATAAATTTCAGTCTTCTAGTCTTACTTTAGAGGCAGATTTGTCATAAACGTATTACCTTTCAACTAAAATATTTTTGTCACCTAGTGAGTTTGATGGACCCAAGGAACAGTGTTAATTAACAAAAAAGTCTGCCCATCATAAGTAAAGATGAAAATTTATTAAAACTAAATTTTTCTATAGCAGAAATGTCATGTTGGGTCATTATCAGCAAATTACTTTAGTGAACCAATAATGAATCACACAAATATCATACGTTGAGCAAAAAAATCTTTAAGCTTCACTTAAATATTATACATGCACAGTTGTAATAATGTTTAACTTTAGTATTTTCTGACATTTAATTTTTAAAATTCTGTTCCATAATTTTGGTAATTTGGAGATTTCTATTCTACAGCTTAGACTAAAATGAGTAGTATGTACAGATTCATTCATAAAATGAAAGCCAACTAACAAGATATTTAAGTTTACATTTGCGGAGTGCATTTGTTTCTAAAAATTCAGACACTGTTTTCATACCAGTGGTAGCCTGAAGTGGATCTTGATTAGCACAAGTTGCAACTTGTAACCTATTGGTTGTTCCATTGAAGCCGAGCCAAGCCCATCCTGACCCTTGAACACCCACAGCTGCTGCAGACAGCTGGGTCTTCATGTTTTCAAAACTTCCAAAATCAGCCTTGATTAACTGCATTAAATCACCTACAAAATAACCAAGAACAATAGAAAGTAACATACATTATGCTGGTGGTTAAAACTACAGTTACTAATGCAATAATTCACGATATTCTGAAGTTTTTAACACTTAATTTTCAAAATGATATGCATCATGAATAATTTTTGTTTTTAACCTCAGAAATACATTAATACACATATTACACACAGTAAGTTCAAAACAATCATAACATATTGCCGTGCTTCAAACAAAATGTAGATTTCTTATGGAACTAGTCAAACCATCATTATGGCTATATAATTTTACTCTATATTACAAGGAGGTTTAGATGGTTGAAAACATCACAAAAAAATTAGTTGTTAAAGAAAAAAAACAGAATTGTCTGAAAGTCCATCATCATTAATAGCAGCATAGATTATGGACCTGTTATACATAATATATACTATTTCTCAAAAGTATTTTAATGTAAATGTAACACTTTCATAACATTAGAAAATTAAAAAGGCAATAAAAAAACAGTAAAACAAAAACTTAACACAGTAAAATAAAAAAAGGAGTTCAATATTTTAAACTTATTCTGCTTGTACTACTATTCCATATTGTTATTCACATTAAATTACTTTGGTTAAAAAAGTATTTATTATTGAGTTACCATGAGATATCTTCCATTTTAAAATAAAATCACATTAGTAAGCCTATAAAACCTTTGTATTTATTAATATGAAGCCAGGTAGGTGAACTTAAAGGAAGCATAAAAAATTTATTAGATGGGTGATTAGTTTGAAATTAATTTTACTTAATTGAAGCTCTGGCAGAATTATGCTTCAAAATTCAGTATTACCACTGCCATGTAGTGATATAATGAACTGTCTTATCAGGCAGAAACTGCCTGGTGTATCTAATTCTATTTAATAATAAGTAATGACTAGCCTAAAGACTGACGCATTAAATATTGTTATCAGTATGCAAAAAACTGTAAAGTTTCAAATCTTCCAAAGTTAGGACAACTGAATTTAAACAAGTTTCACATTTACTTTAATTTGTTACACCAGCCTACTAAATTCAACTGTAACTGGTGTTTCAAATTATCCAAGATGAGGTGGATGTATAATTAAATATCCTAGTTATTTACTGGGTTTTATTTTTCAAAATGATCTGAATGTTTGATGTTATTCACAGGAAAACCTAAGAAATCAGAAAAATCTTTTTTAAGAGAACTTTTCTTATGACAGCATTTTATTTTATTGTAATTGTATTTCATGTTTATAGTTTTAATGGTCAGATCAATGCAGATTTTGAGGAGAAAATGTGGTAGTATATTTAGCAGCCCCCAAATCCCAGGCCAATTTTTCTCAGATTTATCCATGACCCACTCATAAGCTTGAAAGGAGGTTATCCAAATAAATTTTATCCTGAATATGGATGTCGTTTATATACAGCCTATTCCATTCTTTCCTACCAATAATGTGCTTGGGATTACATATCTTTCAACCAAGACTGAATACTCTGATTTGTTTCATTACTCTATTGCACATGTTGTTCATATTGGATGTTCAGCAAGCAGAGAACTTCAATCTTTATCTATATTAGATCTTATCAATCCAGGTCATATTTGTACAGAAAGTAGAAAATTAAAGGTTAAAGTTATGGTTGACTATGACAAGTATGCAATTCATGTCACTAAGAAATGTGATTTAAGCAGATTTTAAAATTTAGTAAAAAAAAAGTAGGTTGTTCTCAAATCTGGCTTTAATATTATGTTCCACATTAAGAAAATAGAAAGATTTATAGAGCAAAAAAGAAATAGGCTTTAACAAGTTTAATGATGATTAATATACTTTAACTTAAAATGAAAGTATGCAGTTGCAAGAGCCAATCCTTGATAAGTTGGGATTCAAGGGGAAATATTTTGAAAGCAGCTTCATTTAATAGGAAGTAATATTTTGTACTTATATTAACAGTCTTTTTGAATGTAAATTGTACTTAAACAAACGTATTCTTATGTATATTGTTTCAAAATGTTGATGTTGGAATCAGTGGAAACTGCTGACTGTTTTGATAAGTGATATACATAGCCACATTTTCAATCAAAGGTATATGTTCCACAACTTCTCGTCTCTGCACAGCCCATTACGCACTTCCTCGTAAGGAAATCTATAGCTTTCCCAACCAAGATCACCTGTTGGCATAGTAACGAGCCATTCCGGCATGCTCAATGTTCTTTTACTGAACACAATTACTTTTTCCGTAAGGAGAAATATTAAGTCATAATTGAAACTTTTCTAGTAATTAAATAATGTTTTATTTATATTCTCATAGATTATTTCAACTCAAACATAATTAATGATAAAAGAATATGCTTTGTTTAAAGTAAGCATTCATATAATAATAACTGCTGTTCAGAGTAAGTGAAACTAAAAATCAACCTCGCCATCAGTATAGCTAATCAGATATACTTTTCTTACATTTCTACTTATAAAGATTAGAATGCAGTGTTTTATCAGTTGGGTAACCTTACTGTAAGCCTAATAATATCTCACATGGATCACAAGAGATTTGGGTCAATCCTAAATACAAATTCTAAGCTAACAAAGCAAAAAGAACTTTTAAAATATAGCATAATAATAAACAGCAAATGAAAATAAAATATAATGATAGTTGATATACTAACTAGTATAAACAATATAATTAAGGAATGCAATAATAAACAAAAATAGCATAACATACTTAGAAAACTTACAAACACCAGTTCTTGTCTTGAACCATAGTCACAGATGTATATTTGTTTGGAGTCTTGCTTTCTAACAGTGCACTTTACCAAAGAAAATGCATTACTGTACCTCTACTATATAATGTCAGTGGATATATTAACTATGACAATTAATGGCATATTTTTCAGTTTATACTATGTCGGGTTGATAGCATTAACTGTCCCATGGCTCAAACATAATTCAGTGTTTATGCAGATACAGAATAAAAAATAGAAATAATAGTCGACATGATCTTTATAATATAACAATATTAAATTTAATAAAAAACACACTAGCTGAACTATCTAGTTTGTCCAAAAACTTATCACCAATCTGACTCTCCCCTGAAACAAAACCTCAGAGGTGGCTACAGGGATATGAACCTGGATATTTATTGTTCTATGGGAGGGAGTGCCTCACTGGTGAGCTGCCACTGGTTGAAATCTGATGGCTCAAGTATTCTTCTGATAAAATCATAGCCTTTCAGCAATAATACATCTAATCTATACTGGTTAAATTGGCTCCAAAAGACCTATTGGATTGTAGCTTTTTTACACTGATGCTTAAGGGAAAAGTTCGATTTTAAGAGCTCTACAGGATTGTGTCAAAACATAAAATTCAACAAAAATGTGTTCACTTCAGTCTAAGTGAGATAACCTGAGATGATAGTTAACATTGCTCCATAGAATGGTCAGAATAAAGTTATGAACTTGTCTTGTATCCTCCTGGGTCAGTTGTTAAAGTGTGTATGTGTACGTTTTAACCAAAAGTCATGGGTTCAAGTCAGAGTCATGATAAATTTCTTAACATCATGAACAGTTAGTGTTTTGGGGTAATATAGATTGGACAAACAAAGTGTATAAATACAAATTAGGAAAACTACTTTCCTTATCAAACACACAACTTGCACTTAAGACAAATTCAAAAAGGATACATTTTTCATGTATGAAACAAACACCCTTACCATCTGGTTCACCTCCTCCATTTGGTGACAAATTTTGCCAGAAGATGGAGTGGTTTATGTGACCTCCTCCATTAAATTTCAAAGCAGGTTGTAAAGCAATTATACTCGATGTGTCACCTACAAGACAAAATATTACCATTAATCTTTAACTTCTTTTGTACCTACATGTACAGTTTTAACCCGATTTGCATGCACATTTGTGATATAGTATATTATATAAATTTTCAAGTGAAGGTTTCATCTTTATCAATGGACAGAAAAATAAACAGCACCTATTATAAAAAAATATTAAAAATGTATTTTAATATAGGAAGTGCATTATATGTACACAAGTCAATTTACATAAATGAAGCAACAAACTTTTAGTGAGCATGATAGCAGGAAAATATTCTTTCCAAAATCACAAATTTTTACCATACACTCAAACAAGGATCTTAAAAATTCTTCCCCTATTTTTCACTGTCTGACTGATTGACATCAGTAAGGCTACAATGACAAAACTCAGTAGTCATTATACAGTTTCTTTCCTATTTTTCTATTTCCCTTTTTTTTTTTCTTCCCAGTGTTTGTCCTGTTCCCTTTGTCTCCTTTTCCATCACCCAAAATTTCTTACACATTTTATACTCTCAAAATGTCCTTATTTTCCAAACACGTGTTTGGAAAAAAGTTTACCCCTTGGCATGTTAATGTAAACTGGAAATAAAGATCAAAGGTGGAAATTAAGTAAATCCTCATCATTGTATTACAATCATATAGCAGCATATCAATAGTGGTTTATAATATATATATATAAAACTGATCATACTTCATTACATAACATGTAACATATAAAAGTGTAACATACACAAACGTAATTGCTTTCATAGTGCTTAGTTTCACAGGTTTAATTTCAGTAAAATATGGTAAAATGTTAAGTGATAAAAATAAGAGCAATTGGTCTAAATCTTAAACTACTTTCTATAAAGTTTTGAAATCAATTATATAGCATACTTTTATAAGTGACCATGATGAAAGTACTCAACAAAGTTTTATAATTCTGATATATCATTAAAAAAAATTTGAGATTGCCATGTTAAAAAAAAAAAGTTTAGAGATGATGGAAATTTACCAGCCTAATAGTGTGTTCTATGTTGGAATCTATCACTTTAAGAAAAGCAATTGGAAAATTGGCAGTACATTTCAGTAACATTTTCTGCAACATTAATTTGTAAGGATTTTCATACTTTATATAACTAGGATTTTGTTTTTGGATGAGAAGGCAGTTAGGTTTGTGCATTGTGACTTTCAGCCTGTCTGATAAGGTGTCCATACAAGATTAATTGCAAAGCTTAAATATTATGGAATTACTGAATTTCTTTTTCAAAATGATTCAAAAATGTGGTTTGTGGTACAGGAGGGAATATCCTTTTCAGAAAAAAAAAATTTGCCACATTTGTCATCCATTCGCTAAGTTAATAAATTGAATGTGCACTGGGGTATATTATTTTCAAATTTGCTTATCATACTGAAATGCTAAGGAAGGCAGATTCTGTTAAAAATATTCAACTCACAGAGATCTCAGTCTTAAGTGAGAATGAAAATGAATTTCAAAATTGAGAACAGCAGAATATTGAACTTAGATTATGGAAATTTAGTTAAGCCAGGCTTAAAAACACTTTTGTTTGCTGTAATCTGACCAACTGTCTGAACTTAGGCCAGCTGAGAGATTTTGTGACATTATAGTCTGGGAAATTTTATTTTCACCAATTTCTGGCATATTATGGTTAGAACATTTTTTTCTCTGAAATTCATGTAGTCCGCAACAATGTTAGAAGACATTACCTGATTACAAATCGACAGCTCTATGCATCGAGATTTGACAACATGGCTTATCTTGTCCCCATGACCCTTCATGTTAAACTAATTAATACACGACCTAGCAGAGGAGAATTTACTATTAATGAGCATACATCAACAACATTGTGAACACAAGTCTGTTCAGTGTATCTGTCTCTATGGATCAAAAACATTAATTCTGATTGGAAACTTATCTGGAGGGAAGTACTTGTTGATCTACTAGGCAAATGAGATGAAACAGAAGAACCATAAAATTGTTGGCAAAAGTTAATTAAACTATGTTGATCAAGGTTGATATCCACCAGCAAGTGTTGCGAAAGAATTTGAAATTTTTGTAATTCTCTTCATAGAATAAATGTTGATAGTATTTGTATTCATGGTTTAACACGTTATGTTTTAGCTGATGACAGAACTAGTGATATTTATGAAATTTCTTTTGCCAACCAATTTGAAAAAAATAAAAATACTTACTTATCCACATTTTAAATTAGATTTGGGTTATAGAAAACTAAAATATTTTTAAGCCTGGCCTTAAGTGTTTTGTAGAACTAAAACATACAAATGTAATTCTTGATAAATGCCTGAAACATTATGCTGAATGATTGGCTGTGATAAAAAAAAAAAACGAATTATAAAAGTTATATGATTTATCTTTAAAATTTTAACTTATACACAAAAAAAGAAACACAGGGAATCAACAGAATGAGCTTATAATTTGATAATGAAACTTTGGAATTGTTTTCTATGGATTATACAAAACTAGAGGAGACTTGGTTCAGGTGTTTAACTCCTTAAACCTGAGCAGACACTACCAGCATCTGGCCAAAAACCTTTTACTTACCCATCAGACGGTGACAGCATCGGATAACATTTACGTCTCTTTGGCTTAAAAGTAATCCAAATCGTGTTATTATCAACAAAATGGAGAAACATGTTATAAAGTATGGTGATAATTATTATGAAATCATGAAAATAATTCCAGCAGAACGTGCAAAAAATTATGGTTTAAAAGAGTAAAATGGTCTGATATCAGACCTAATGGTTCACACCTGCTCCATTTTATTTGGGACATAACAGTTATTTATGTTGTGAATATTGGAGCAGGAACCATTTTAGCTGATACATGGCGAAAAAGAACTTTTGACTGGATGCTGTGATTAGTTGCTTTGATTGGTGGAGAAGTTGCTAGGTCAAATGGCCTTCTGACACCTTGTTCATTCTTACAAAAATGAACAAATATTTCTATTAGATTAACAATAAACTACAAATATATAATTCTTTACAATTAATATATAAAAAACTGCTTACTTTTGGCTTGAGCTTCAGCCAGTTTATCCTCTGCTATGTTAAGATTGTTTACATATGTTGCATGATGCTTTTGATGATGAAGCCGCATTATTTCAGCAGAAATCACTGGTTCCAGAGCATTGTAGTCATATGGAAGATCTGGAAGTGTGTGTTTTGCACAATGTTGGCTACAACCAGCTGCTACCAATCGAAAGCCACTAAGAAATAGAACATTCATAAATCATGTCACTAACAAGATAAGTTTAGAGTGTCTCTAGTCTGAATGCGTGCTTTGATAACCATAGCTCTATAAATTCATTCAATTACAGTAATTTTATTGCTTCTACTTTAATCATTGTTGTAAGTTACTTTCATATTTCTATTATGTTCATAATTACTTTAATAATCATTCATTAGAAAGTTCAAAATTATAAGAACAAAATATTTTCCACTCAACATGTCTTGGTAAAAACCTGTGTATAATGCCTTGATGCAATTTATTTCAATCTTTTATAAGAACACAAATCCACAATTTATTTATTCATTCAGCTGTTTTTCAATCTTACTTATTTAATATATCTTTCTTAAATTGCAAATAACAACAGTTTAATATAATACTGACAATGAGGAGTCATTTGCTCCTTCATGGCTGTCCATACACACACAACCCTAAAAAAAGCAAAATTTTAAATTCATCTTGTAATTTTCAGGAAATCTTCAATTCCCTTTTGACCTCTTGTAAGATTTTGGTTTCCACAACAACCAATAGCAACTCATTCCATAGACTACCCAGTTATCAAAACAAAACAATCTTAACTAAAGCCCAACCCACTTTTTACAAAACTCAAAATTGTCTCCTCTCATCCTATTGTTTTCAGGAAACAGCACAAAGAAATCAGAGGACTTTATCCTATCAATCCCCCCCAATAATCTTAGAAACTTCAATAAAATTACCCCTCACCCTTTTCTCAAGGGAAACTAAGATAAAAAAAATCTCAACCCATCACTTAAGACAACCATTCCATCCCTAAAATCCCCTTAGCAGTTCTCATCCAAACCCCTTGAAATAAATTAATATCCCTTTCTTATCATAATTTTGATCAAAGCAAGATACCTACAATGATCATACTAAACATTAACCCAGTAATCAATCAAGTGAATTTAACACACCTTTCAAATTAAGTGTATGAAAAGTCATAAAACTGAAACTTGTAGTTAGAATGCACTGATTCATCAGTTAGGTACCTTTGCTGTTAATGATAAGGAGGTCAAAACTGTACACAATATTCTATGAGAGACCTAACAACTGAAGTGTACTGAGATAATTATCTGATTTTACTTATAATAAATGTCAATAAACATACTTTAAAATTATATTACTTTATACTAGCAACAGAGTACTGTCTTGATGGCTTAACTACAACTATGCCACCATATTTTTCTTTAGACATGCTATTGAGTGATTTCTTCTCTACATTGAACATGTGATCTAAATTATGATAATCCAAAGGCATTACACTGCATTTACTATATTTGAAGGCCATTTTCCAATTATTTGTCCAACTCAACAATTTACCAAAGTAATTTTGCAGTAACTCAACATTCTCAATACAGATACAAATGTCCAATAGTTTAATGTTATCAGCAAACTGTGTAATTTATTCCATATGCCCCTTTCAATATAATTGATTTAAATAAAAAAACTCAAATGCCAAAGCACTAAGCCTTGAGGTACTCCATTTACAAACTTCCAATTTGACTGAACTCTATTAATATATTTGATTTTCTCATTCGGGTAAGGCAAGGGGCCTGATGGCTCTTTGAGACTGTCTCATCCAATAAATTGAATTAAATGTTTATTAAACCTTTCCTTAAACCCAAGCATGGATATGATTTTGAGCTACAATAAACTAATTAAGAAGTATGTGGAAAAAAACTATCTGTAGTTAATTTTTACAATTTTGTTTTATTGAATGAAATGCTTCTTGGACAGAGACTTGTGGCAAACAAAAAATGGATCTGAAATGCTATTTTTACACACCTTTGATTTAGGTCCACAATAGACAAATTAAGAGGTATGCAGAAATAGAAAAAAGTCTAGAGTTAACTTGATTTATATAACATCTTATCTGAAGATGACTGTCACTCTGCTAAAGTTTACATTTGTGCTCCCTTGCCTTACCATTCTCATCATTAAGTACAAAAAAAGATAATGCATCAACACTATGAATTCCCTTAACAATCTTAAACACCTCAATTAGACCATTTCCAGATTCTGTTTTAAATAACAACTTCAGAAATTTTAATGTGTCCTTCTATGACACACTTTTCATCCCAGTAGCCCTCCTTTAAAACTTTTATAAAAATTCAATATAGTTCTTAGGACAAAAAGACTGAATGCGATATTCCATACAAGTCCTAACCAGTGACCTATAGTATACAATAAAATCATAACTTATTAAGATTTATTCTCAACATTTCTCTGAATACAACAGGAAATCCTATTTGCCCTACCTCTAGAAATAACAAACTGCTGTGTTGGCTTAAAAGAATGATAAACCAAAACACCAATACCATTTTCTTCCAAAACACTGTTAAGGTTAGTCTCATCAAAATTATAATTTAAATAACACATTTCCTTACATTTATTACAATTAAAAACCATCTGCCATTTATTTTCAAAGCATTTTTTTTTTTTTTGTAAGACTTTCAAAAAGGTTTTCCACCTTCAATTTAATATAATAGGCCAATAATTATCTGGACAATTCTTATCAGCTCGTTTGTGAAGTGAGAGACACATTTTTCAATTATCCAATGTCCTGATTGATTAACTCTCTTGTTCTTCCATCAAAGCAATCAATTTAAACTTCTTAAATTCATAATGCTCTTTTTTAATTTTTATCCCCGATACTCTTTTTCAGCCAACATGGTATTTTACTTGCAGCCACCCTTTTTTTTCTCTAAGGATCATGTTTACATTGAATAGTTAAAAATTTTCCACATTTGATCAGTATTTTCAATTTATTCAGTTGCTCAAGTCATAACACATAATTCATGTTGCACCCCTTCAAAGTTAGCTTTTTTTAAAATTGTAACCAAAATCTCATTATTCCCGGTCCCCATGTGCAGTAAAACACCAAACCTAATTAAGCAATGATCACTTTCACCAAAATGTCCCCAATTCTCCACCCTCTTAAACATTTCCATATGAGAAGTTAATATCTAAAATAGCATTGTTTGTAGTAGGTTTTCTGACCAATTGATGAAGAAAACCATCCTAAACAGTTTTTAAAAACCTGTCTCCTTCATGGTTTGTCTCTTAAAACCTCCAAATCGATCTACTTAAAATGAAAATCCTCCATAACCCTAACCATGTTTACAGCTGATATCTTTAATATTATTGTTAAATTTCAAACAAATTGTATCAGTTTTATGTGGTAATCTGTAACAAATTCAACTCAAAGTCTTCTCCCCTATATCCAGGAACCCAAACACATTCAACCTCCTTGTATCATCTTAGATACCCTGAACATCAACTGGATGTAATTCAAAATTTACATCTAAAGCCACTCCCACTCCTTTTCTTTAATCTATTTAAGCAACCTAAAATGCTGTACATCAAAGAAATCTCTGCCATCAAAATTGTCTACATCTAACTGTGTTTCAGTTATTCCCATAATATCAAAAGTTTCCATTCTGAATACTCTAAAGTTACCTAATTATTTCTTATACTTCTAGTATTACAACAGTAACAATTTAGCCTACTTTCAAAATTATTTCTGTATTATGTCCCTACACTACATTTTCTCTACATCTAACTCTGGCTCTTACCGTTATCTGTTCCCGTTTTAACCCATTCACTGTAGCTGGGACATATTTCCCAGTGCTCACACCCTCTCAAAATGCGACAAATGTTTCCCACTATAAATTCTGTTTATGCCTTCCTCTGCTGGGTCCAGGTTCATCATCTTGACTATCATCACTAGATGGAGAGCTAGCATCCTCTCGTCTCATTGCCTCTTCATCATCACGCATTTGAACATCACTTGACTCACTTTCACTATGTTCTAAGCTATCCGAGTCAAGCGCACCAAGCATGTTTACAATGTAATCAGGGTTACTACTTGCCACTCTAGTGATGTGGGCACAATCAGCATGCAGTTGTCGTACACTCCACTTAGGCATCTTGTTGGTTACTGAAGAGCCAAGTGGAAAATGTTGAGGGAAACCATATATCAACATTAGGTGGGATGACAATAAATACTTTCCAACTCATTTTACTCCCATACGTCACACACACAACAATTTTGAATGATAATAGGAAACATCTTTCCCAGTCGCAGTCTGAGGGGGTGGAAGCATTGGGAAATATACATCCCAGCCGCATTGAAAGGGTTAAAGACCCTTTACAATTTGTCCCACTAGAAAAGACTAATTGGAATTTCCATTGCAAATCTTTCTCTCCCTTTACAAGTAACAGTAAAATTAGCAACTGTCAAATCCTCAGGCCACTGTCTATTGACCTGTCCATATATTTCCAGTATCTCCTATCTGTTAGTTTAAACTTCTTAAATTATTTATCCCTGATTTTCTCTTTTATGTTCTTAGAATGCACTATAGAGTTTAGCAATTAGCAGAATTTATTGTTAATTAATTCTTGGGTTCATTTATTGATAACATTCAACTATCACAATCCATCATGGGTGTCGGGTTAGTATCATCACCCTTTTTGTCACCATACTGTGGCCATTCATACAAACAGTCCTAATCACTTTTAAACTGTTCAATCTTTCTTGTTTCCAAAGTTACATGTCCATGTTAATGAGAACATGGTGGACTCACTGGAACATGTAAATGGATATGTCTGGTAAATTTAATCATTTTTCACCCAAATATTTTTTGATTGTTTTCAAATAGTGATAAAATAGTCTTATATTAGTGTATGAAGTTATACAATTAAATTTTATCAAGAATATAACTGTAATCTTTGTGAATGCAGTTTCAAATGCCTACAAGTCTGAAATAATGAACTGTGCGCAATTATGTATCTGTGCCATGTGAAGAAAATTTGGAATATATTTAAAAATTAAGAGACTGGTTACCTACTTATTATGAAAACTAGTGTTTCAATGTACAATGTGTAGTTTTTTTAAGCAAAAGTCATAAAAATAATTAAGATAGGAGGAACATCATGTGCCCTGTCATGTACTCTTGTAGTTTCAAAGTTCAGATGATCACCTAGTTAACTGTTTTTTGGATTCACTCAACTGTTAAGAACATCATAACTTCTTTTATAACTGAATATTCCAAATTATATGGAATGCACTTTTTGTGCTTTATACCAGTTCAATATTTTCTTCAAAATTCTATAAATTTAGAATATTTAGTAGTCCTTATTCATAAGATCATTATTTTTATTTCCAACTGTTTTAAAAAAAAGACATTTTCAAACTATCCTTTACTTAATATGAAGAACATTTTCAGGTGCAACAATTTAGAATTATTACTTTTTAATGCTAAACTGTTGTAAACGAAAATATATATACAACATAGTAAAAACAAGCTGAAAATATGATTGTTTTTTGGGAACCATACAAACTTTCACAGGAATACCAAATATTTGTTGCTGAAAATAAGCATTACTTTATGGTATTCATTATAAATAAGAAAAATATTAAATATACAGTCAGTAATATCAAGAAAAGACCATAGAATTGTTATGAAAAACTAGGATATTTATTACTATATAAACAAACTCATTGTTAAAAATAAATAACTCATAGCATTGTGACAGAGAACTGGGATATCTGACTTTAGTACATTATCACAAAATAAACTAGATCTTGATTAAAAACAACTGTCCTTAAATTTCATGTGATAAAAGTAGTAAAATTCTTGTCACAATGTATTATAAAGATATAGTTCAGAGAAAACAAATTCACTCTGATCTCAGGAAAACAGACAGTGATTTACTATTTGGTGAAAGAACTTGTGATGATACTAGATGATCTCTTTGTAGAAATTATAAAATTTGGGAAACACTGGTCTAAACCATTACTTTACCATAATTGTGTGTACAGGGTTTTCTCCAAGGGACACATCACTTGACAAGCTGTCATACTAAGCTTTTTACAAAACAGGTCATTAACAGGTTTATGTACAATAATTCTAGGGTGTTGCGTAGAAGAATTAAACGATATATAATTTTTTTATTGCTACACTAGTTAAACTTAAAGCATTTTTAATTTTTTTTAATACCAACTGAACTAATCACAAAATGTGTATGCTACAATCAGTCTTACTACTTACCTTACTGTAAATTATTTTAACAGAATAATAAACTTTATAATATAAAGCACAATACTTTGAGTATCTTATTCTTAACTTTTACTTTAAAGTTTACCTTTACTTTAGAAACTTGTGATTTAGTCTATTGTTTTATTTATTAAACAGTAAAGTAATAATTACATCATGATACAAGTTATTTACTATATATCTCTCTCTTAAATTTCATTTCCTTTATCTAGATTAACAAAATGGTAATTATACCATTTAAATATTTGCGAACTTCGTGCTACCAGCATCGTCATTTCCTAACTTCTTTTCCACAAACCTCTAAATGACCCGTTGATTCCACTTACCGACGAAAAGCCTGAACACAAAAGCAATAGATGTCGCTTTTAAAACCAATAATTTTAAGTTTCGAAAATGCTAACAGTCAAGTATAAATAATTTTTTTGGAACAATATACTTATTTTATACTCTTTAAGTCTTAGATAAGAGAAACTCAGACAGAAACTCGTTTTAGACGATCTGATCAAAATTTAACGAAAAGTAATCCTTTGTGTTGTTCGGTCACATAACAGATGATGACCAAACTTAATGAGAGATTTATTAGTAATGTAACTGATATCATCAGATGTTTCTGTCAGTAAACTTTATTCCTAATAGGGTTAAGATATTGTAAGAAGCTTTAAAAAATGAAACTCACGTATGTCTCTAAGTGGGAGAAGATGGCCTAATATATATATGTGTGTGTGTATAATCGAGGCTGATTTCAGCTCACATCTCACTCACATGAACCAAGACCACTCTCTACATCATAGGAGCGGGGAATCGCCGATAGGAAAGACAGCTGTTTATTTTAGACATCACTAGTAAAGCTACAACTAAGTTTCCAGCAAGAAAACACGTCTAGTGATCAATAAAAATGATATTGTCGCTATGTAGAGGTAGAGTTAGGAAAACGTAAGTTGTTTACTTGATAGATTTTCCGTCTTAACCCAAGCTGAAGAAAATATATATTTTACATATTGTTACGACAGCGGAGGTCACGTGACGCCGGTAACACGTCATGAGATTATCGAAGGATCGTGACTTTTCCTGGCAACTCTAGTCTTTTCCAGGCGCCCTTTGTTTTTGTATATAAGCCCGGCAAGTGCTTGCAGATAGATAGAGATATAGAGACAGATAATTCAGTCAAGCGAGCGGTAGTGACGGTAATATAAAGTGTGTGTTTTGTTATCGAGATTGCAAACGTATTGACTGTGGAAATTCTGTGTATTGCAAAGTTGTATTGAGAAAGAATAAACTACTGTTACGTCTCCGTTTGTTAGTTAATTTCCCGTAAATTCTCAATGCTGGAAACATCATCACACAGGGGAGATGATACAGCAGGAAAGGCTGCTACCTAGAAAGGCTGTTGGAACTGTAGAAAGCAAGGACTTATCAGGAGCCAGTGTAGGAAGAATATTACCAAGAAGTCAGCCTCAAGGAGACCAGTAGTGGTTGGTGTTGAGGGACAC